CTTCACCAGTTTGCACTCCCACCAGCATTGTATGAGAGTTCCCTTTTCTCCACATCCTCTCCAACACTTGTTATTTCCTGTATTGTTAATTACAGCTATTCTGATGGGTGTGAGGTGATATCTCATTGTAGTTTTGATTTGCATTTCCCTGATAATTAGTGATGTTGATCATCTTTTCATGTGCCTGTTGGCCATCTGTATATCTTCTTTGGAGAAATGTCTGTTCAGACCTATTGCCCATTTTTTAATTGGGTTGTTAGTATTTTTGTTGTTGAGATGTATGAGTTCTTTAGATATTTTGGATATTAACCCCTTATCAGACATATGGTTTGCAAATATCTTCTCCCAATTGTTAGGTTGCCTTTTCAGTTAGGTGATGGTTTCCTTTGCTGTGCAGAAGCTTTTTAGTTTGCTGTAGTCCCTTTTGTTTATTTTTTCTATTGTTTCCCTTGCCCAGTCAGACATGGTACTTGAAAATATGATGCTAAGACTGATGTTCAAGAGCGTACTGCCTATATTTTCTTCCAGAAGTTTTATGGTTTCGGGTCTTACATTCAAGTCTTTAATCCATTTTGAGTTGATTTTTGTGCATGGTGTAAGGTAATGGTCTACTTTCATTCTTTTGCATGTGGCTGTCCGCTTTTCCCAACACCATTTATTGAAAAGACTTTCCTTTCTTCATTGTATGTTCTTGGCTCCCTTGTCAAATATTAGCTGTCCATAAATGTGTGGGTTTATTTCTGGGCTCTTGATTCTGTTTCATTGATCTGTGTGTCTGTTTTTGTGCCAGTACCATGCTGTTTTGATGACAATAGCTTTGTAGTATATTTTGAAATCACAGATTGTGATACCCCCAGCTTTGTTTTTTTCTCAGGATTCATTTGGCAATTTGGGGTCCTTTGTTGTTCCATATAAATTTTAGGATTCTTTGTTCTATTTCTGTGAAAAATGTTGGAACTTTGATAGGGATTGTGTTGAATCTGTAGATTGCTTTAGGGAAGTATGGACATTTTAACTATGTTAATTCTTCCAATCCAAGAACATGGAATATCTTTCCATTTCTTTGTATCTTCTTCAATTTCTTTCAACAATGTTTTATAGTTTTTAGTGTACAGGTCTTTCACCTCTTTGGTTAAATTTATTCCTAGATATTTTATTCTTTTTGTAGCAATTGTAAATGGGATTGTATTCTTAATTTCTCTTTCTGCTACTTTGTTGTTAGTGTCAAAGTGAATTTTTGTTAAACAGGGGTTCACTGACAACAGGACAGAATTTGTAACATGCATATGTAATTGCTAGTAGAAAAAATTTAGCCCAGCCTTTCAGGGATGATCCCTCAGCTCCACACCAACAAATAATGCCAGAGATGCTCAGGAAAGATGTGATTCCCTGGTGAGAAGATAATAGGCACTCTTATCTTCCAGAACCCCTGGTTCTCTTCAACCTGCTTACATCTTTTTGGATCAAGTAAACCACATTTTACAGAGATCTTTGTAAATGAGATTATGTCCTGTATCACTGTATCATATAGGAAATTGAAATACATTTTCATTGAAAAGTCAAAAAAATGAGGGCAAAATAAAACATTTTCAGGTTAATGAAAGAAAGAAAATCTGAGAATTTGCCATCAGCAAACCCTCACTGTGGAAAATACTAAAAGTATTTTTATGTAATGTGAGCCCTAACAGAGGGTGTGAAAAACAAGGAAGAATATGATGACTTTATAAAATAATAATTATGACTTGTGGGTTTAAGATGTATTTCAAATAAATAACAGTAATAATATATAAGTTAGGGAGAAGCAAATAGAGTTAAAAGGTTTTAAAGACTTAAGAGTCAACATCCTGAATAAGTTTAGACTTTGATAAGTTAGAAATGAATATGTGAATTTCTGGAGTAATACTGAAGGAACATAAACGTGGTATATAACCCGCAAACTAGCAGATGAAGGGAGAAAATGGAATGAGAAAGAATATATAATCAATCCAAAAGAAAGAAGGGGGAATATGGAACATGCAGGGCAAATAGAAGGCAGAAGATAAGATCATAAATTTAAACTCAAATAATTTAGCATATAAATAAGATATAAATTGACTAAATGATTCTTTAAAATTTACAGATATAAAAATATCTAATTCTATTATTTTTACAAGAGATATATCCAAAACATAAGGATACAGATTGTCTGAAAGTAAAAGGTTGCAAGAAGATAAAGACACGTGTGGTTTTTTTTAAAGATGGGCACCTGAATTAACAACTCTTGCCAGTCTTCTTTTTTTCTTCTTCTTCTTTTTCTCCCCAAAGCCCCCCAGTACATAGTTGTGTATTCTAGTTGTGAGTGCCTCTAGTTGTGCTAGGTACATATTTAGTCAGGGTTTAGTTGGGAAAACAGAAGCCTCTCTAGGCATTTTGAGTAAAGAGATTTATTTAATCCAGGGAATTAGAGGCTTACACATCTTTGAAATGGCTGGGTGATAAAGATCAGGGGGCTTTCACAGGAAATCTACTTTCAGGAAAGCAACAGCGGGTGATTTTCAGAAAATTAATGGCTGTTCCGTCCCATCCAGCCTCCAAATCTTGTGCAGTTGCCCCTCATTGGCAAAATTGAATCCAGAATCATAAAAAGAAAGCGATATGAGGAACTATAGTTCCAAGATTCCCCTTCAGAGCAGAGGTAAGTGCTGAAGCAGAGGTAAGTGATGATGCCAACTGATAACAAGCAACCCAGCCCCAAAGGAAATAGGTGTAGCTACATTAATATCAAAATTAATATCAAAATTGACTAGAGATAAAGAGAATCACTTCATAATACAAAAAATAAAGATTCAATTCCCCAGGAAAATACAATATTTAAATTTGTACTTGCCTCATAACGAAGCCTCAAAATGTAGAAAGCAAAGATTTAACAGAACTACAGGGAAAAATAGATACATCCACAGTCATATTGGATGGACTTTATATACCTTTCTCAGAAATAAAGAATTCAGCCAGGATATACAAGATATGAAAATATGAAGAAATTTGATTTAATGGACACAAATAGGGGACTGAGCCCAATAATTCCATTCTCTTCTAGCACACACAGAACATTTACAAATAATAACCATATCCTGGGCCATAAAGCAAATCTCAACCAATTTCTAAAAGCAAAATTGGACACAGCATATTTTATGACCTCAATGAAATTAAACTAGAAATCAACAACAAAGAAGTAATTGAAGTCATCATCATTTAAGAATCATACTTCTAAAAGACTCGTGAGTCATAAAAATTAAGAAATATTTAGAACAAAATAACTATAAAAATATTTCATTTCATAATATGTGGGATCAACTAAAGCAGTATTTAGAGGAAAACTTATAGCCTTAAATGCAAGTATTAGGGGCTGGCCCCATGGCCGAGTGGTTAAGTTTGCGCAGTCCACTTCGGCGGCCCAGAGTTTCACCACTTCAGATCCTGGATACAGACATGGCACTGCTCATCAGGCCATGTTGAGGTGGCATCTCATGTGCCACAAATAGAAGGACCCACAACTAAAATATACAACTATGTACTGGGGGGATTTGGTGAGAAAAAGCAATAAAAAAAAAAAAAAGATTGGCAACAGTTGTTAGCTCAGGTGCCAATCTTTAAAAAAAAAATGTAAGTATTAGAAAAGCAGAAAGACTGAAAATTAAATTACTAGACTTGAAAAACCAGACAATTATGGCCCATATTCAAGAGGAAAATCAATCAACAGGAAGAATACATTTAATTTAATTTAAACAATAGTTTTGTAAATATACTCAGTGGGGAAGGATTCATGAAGAATTCAGGGGTGGAGAGAAAAGAGAATAGGTAAGGGACGGGGGGGGGGGGGGGGGTGGGGGGGGGAGGGGGGGGGAGGAGAAAGGGGCCAATGAATATTAAAGAAGAGAGCTAGAGTTTAACGAAATGAACTCTGAAGGGCTTTCTTAGAATAGGGAAATTCTAATATTTTCTTTTGAATGATCTGCTGAAGAGTGGTTGATTCCTCTCCTCACCCCTCCAGTCTTGGTTAAGCATCTACTGAAAGAGCTGGCTCAGATTTGGGGTTGGGGTGAGAATCAAGAAAGGATTGTGTTGATGAAATTGAAGCTGAAAATTGGAGCAAGAGACAGCTGGTAGAGAAGTAAGACCCTGGGGCTTCATAGACATTTCAGAGAAGCATAAGAATGCCCAAGGTATGGAATTGGGGTTCCAGCGGATTTTACCTAGACCTGAAGGGTGGTCCATCTGACATATTTTTATTCTATGTGTCAGAGTGAATTAACTTACAGTGAGGAACATAAAACTTTCCGACAGGTCCTTGACTTGCATATCCTCTCCCTGGGTACAGATCTACCCGGGAAGCAGAACGCTAAGCAGAGGGCAGGCTGCTTGGTGAGTCTGGAGGAAAAAAGGATGTTCTGAATGGCCAGAGTCATCAATGGGACAAGCTGATACAGCCATGGCCACAACTGGGCCATTTTACACAATAATGAATGAGATTATGGGGGGATCAAGGTCACAAAGCTATTAAGTGACAGCTGGGATTTGAACCCAGGCTCGTCTGACTCCAAGGCCTGCACTCCATCCCCTAAATCACAGGGGGCCTTTCAGAGCGCTTCTCCCCTAGACAGTACAGATGGCTCACATCTGCTTCAAATCATCGTCTCAGAAAAGAAAGGCACCAGCCTGGAATGGTGTCTCAGCCAGCCCATGCTGGGGCTCCTTGCAAGGCCCGGGGCCTTCTCCGGCAAAGGCGTATGATTTATGTCTGCATTTTGCTTTTTGTTGTCTGTATGTCTTCTGTCCTTGTTCCTTTATTCCTCCTTTACTGCCTTCTTTTGCACTGAGTGGATCTTTCCTAGTGTACCATTTTAATTACTTTGTTGATTTTTAACTATTTTTTTAGAGTAATTTTCTTAGTGATTGCTCTAGAAATTATAATGGACTTTTTAATCACAGTCTCCTTCAGATTAATGTTAACTCAATGCCAGTATAATAGAGAAACTTTGCTCCAATTATAGCTTTATTCCCTACCCCCTTCTTTGGCAAAGATCTATGAAACATGCATCCCTGGGAAACTTCTGGGAAATATGATAAACTATTTGCAGTTTAATTACAAATACATATTAGCGAGCTGACAGCACGTTACTCAAAGTCATACAAAGTCACAATAAACCAAGTGCAGAGGTCATGATAACCAACCGTTTTACTGATCCCTGTGCCTAAAGCTCTCCATTCCCTCGCGTATGCTGTGCAAGAACAGAAACACAGGTATTTGTGCAGTCACAGGGGGAGAGGGTGGGAACCTCAGCAAGTCAGGCACCTCGAAGCAGTTGTGCAAGGCCGGACTGTAGCAGACGTTCAACAACTCCATGAAGAGCCCCTGACGTGCAGCTCATAGGGCACTAAGTAACGGGATGGGCGTCTTCAGCTGAGATGAGACTGAGTAAGTCTTGAATGGAGTTCTGTTCCTGGTCACTGAGCTGTTGCTCTCTGGCTAGATCGAGGGCTCTCATGGCATATTCTTGTGCCTGGATTAGAATTGCAGTGGCAAAAGGAGGTCATCACAGGAAAGCATTACATTGGGAAGCCCCCTCCGCACCCAACCCTGGAAACATGGGAAAGGACCCATCAGCGTCTCACACCAGCCACTGAGCTCTTGTTGGGAACCTGTGAACACACACTTGGTCCTTACAGCCAGCCACACGTGTGCTGGGTGGGGCAGGGGGCACCAGAAAAACACACTGAGTTTGACAAACTAAGAACTAAGAAAGCACAGCTTCTTAGCAAAGCGAGCTCTTGGTAGGATCTTATAAGCCTTTTGAACCAACACTGGGAGGCACAGAGGTGCCAGGCACCACAAGTAAACTGCCATCCTGAGGGCCATGTGGCCCAGAGTGAGACTTGGACAGAGGCTTCACAGGACACCTTGGGACAGACTCTGGCGTGCCTGCCCTCCCACCTTCCCTCCCTCCCTTCCTTCCTTCCTCCTTCCTTTCTTTCAATAAATATTTGAATAATAATTCAAATTCAATTTGAATTCAATAATTCAAATGTCCAAATAATTTGAATAAGGAAATATTTATTGAATGGCTGTTATGTTCCTGATACTGTGACTACAGGCAGAAATTCCTGCCCTCGTGGAACTTACAGTGTAGTAGGAGAGAGGGGAAATAAACAAGATATCTAAGTAAAACTGATAGTATCTTAAATAGTGATACATGCTAAGGGAAAAAAATAAAGCAGGAAAGGGGGATAGGAAGCATCAGGGGTGGCAGTGGGGTTTCGTAATTTTAGACGGAAACTACAGGGAAAGCTTCATTGAAAAGAAGAAAAGTGAGCAAAGACCTGAAGGAAATGAGGGCCAGTCTTGAGTAAACAGATGTGTCCCTTTTCTCTAAGGACCTCTGGTAGATCTAACACCTTGGGGTAATGATTTCCTAAGTATACAGCAGAAAGTTGGACCCTGAACTGTAGAAAAGAGGTTCTGTCCAATGTAAACTTGGAAACTCACCCATCCCAGGTGGGGTTAGAGTCTCTCCTTTGAGCTCCCACAGTGCCCTGGGCTTCTCTATCACCTCTATTATAACCCACTGGCTGTGAGCTACTCCAGGCCCTGGTACACAGTAGGTGCTTAGTAAAAGTTTGCTGCAGAAAGGAAAGAAGGAAGAAAGGGACAGAGGAAGGGAGAGAGGGGGGAAAGGAATTTCAAATTTTCTGTGTCACCCACACAGAAAGGCTTCCGCTAATTGGCCCTCCCTCTCTCTGTCTCCTTACCTGCCTTATTTTTCTTTGTAGCGCTATTCGCTATCTGAAGTTACAGTAAACATTTATATGTTCACTTGTTTATTGTGACTTCCCCTCCTCCCAAAACACGTAAGTTCCACGGAGACAGGGAACTAAGCTGGAGCTTCACCACTGCAGCCCCAGGCCCTGAAACAGTGCCTTGCAAATGTAGATGCTCAATAAATACTTCAATGAATGAGTGAATCAGCTCATCAATAAATCAATAAACCTGAGATTTGCCACTTACTTTCTGTAAGAATTTGGACAAATAGTGGGCCCTCCCTGTGCCTCAGTTTCCTTATCTGCAAAGTGGGAATAGTGAAACACCTACTTCATAAGGTTGGTATGAGAAATATGATAATTCATGTAAAATACCTAGACCAGTGTCTGGCATGTAATAAGCACTCAGAAACGATCACCTTTTCAGTCATTTCATGGCAACCCATTTCCACCTGGATCCCTCCAGCAACAAGGAACTCACTAACTGAGCGTAGTTAGAGCTACTACACCATTCCTCCAAAGACTCCCCAGAGCCCTCATGTCCTGCCGACTTCCCAGCACCGCCCCAGCCTCAGTTTACCTATGCAACCCTGGGAAGGCTCCTTTGAAGGAAGAAGACAACCCAGTTTCCATTATGCAGGCTGGACTCAACAAATGAGAAATATGAGGAGCAACTGAACTTTTCTGGAGTGAGGGCTTACTCTGAGGGCAAAAACTAGTGTGACTGGGCAAAACATAGCTAAATTCAACCAGAGGCATTTCTCCATTTAAGACATGCTGCTTCTCTAGGGAAACTTGCCTTTGAAGAATTCATCATCAGGTGGTAAAGCATGACCAGGGTTTTCAGAACAAAGATAGTTTTTTGGGGGGCTGTGTCAGAGGTAGATTCTCGAATGTTCCAGATTGAAGTCAGGATCCGAATGGCTTCTGCTTCCTGGGCTTCATCTGCAGTGGAAAGGGAGGGAAGAAGAAACAGCCCTGGGGGCAACTGAGTCTCCCTCAGCGATAAGCACTGAGCTGTTCGGGCTCCAGGCCTTCCGAGGCCTCCTCACAGGGGCACTGGTGGAGGGAGCACAAAGCACAGGCAGTTCCCCAGCTGGAGAACTGCCACTCCGGGCTGAGCAGGAAGGTGGAATGTTCTCCAGCGCTGCCTCGCATGTCATTATCAGAGTAACCTAAAAAAATGTTCATTCCTACAGGTCCCAGAGTCGCTAGGGTTTCTCTCTTTCAGAGTCCTGAATCAGATCTCTCAGGCTCCCAGGCAGTGGGAATTCGTCACAGCAGGATCCCTTGGGTCCAGCTCAGCTTCTGCTCTACAGCAAGAGGAAGGAGCGGGGGCTTCTTACAGCTGCAGCAGCTTCATCCTTCTCCCCTAAATCCACAGATGCTTAAGCAATAGCCTTCCACTTCCCCCACACGAGTCTGTCCACAACTTCCCCAGCAGTCTTTGGTCCTACTTTAGTCACTATTTATTGACTTATTATGAGTTATTATGGGCCAGGTACTTAACAGCACTTTTTAAGTACTAGGCTTAGAGAAAAAGACAAACAACGACAGATACCACAATGTTAAGGTTGGATATCTGATTTCCAAGTTTTCTGCTTTAACGTGAACCACTTTTATAATGAGAGAAAACCCAATAAAGTTATTAATTTTTTAAACCTTAGCTCAAAACCTCTCCTCCAAGAAGTCTTCCCTCTTCCACACCATCCAACTATCCTCACCTCTTCGTGCTGGGACTCCCCTTGTAACATAATTGGTACTCATAGAAATTTTCTTTTGGTATTTCACATGGGTTCTGTCGCACCACCTACACTGTATGTCTTTTTTGAGCAGAAACTAGATCCTCTGTCTCTTGTCATTATCTCAGGGGGAATGATGTTGTACAGTGCTACTCAACACTCAGCCCTTTGGGGAGCCCGGGGGCAGTGAGATGAATCAAACTCAGCCCTGCCACTGAGAAGCTCGCTGTCCAGTAAAGGAAGAAGATAACACAGCAGAACAAATAAATGAGCAATGCGCCATCCGCGCAGTCTGCCTCGGCTGGTGTGCCCTGGAGGGATAACACCAAGAAATGGATGCTCTGCGTGAATCACATGGGCCTCTGGCAGGGTATTTTCCCCTCCAAATCCGTCCTTTATTAATACCCTGAAGGGCTGTGTGTGATGCTAGGGATGTGAATTCTTCCCAATACTGGTCAAATCCCTTTGAGGCCCTGTCTCAGTTTCTCCATCAGCAAAATGGGGAAGATGGCTCTGATGTGCTCCATGGCAGGGACAGCCGCTCTCCCTCTTGGGGCAAGGCCTGTGGATTAGGAGGGATGACGTCACTGCTCTGCTTCTTAGGGAGAGCTGCCACTTACCCAAGCCAGTGTCGGTCTCAAATCGTTTGCCCAGTAAATCTATTTGTTGGATGCGAGCCTGCGAGAGGACTTGATAGTGATTGTTCAAATATTTATTCCAGATCTCAGAGACCTGTTGGGAAAGGAGATGGCAATCAGACAAGCAGGCCAGACCTTAGCCATCGGACCCACCAGTTGAGAGGGCAGCACCTCTGGCCAGGTTTCCTGACAGTCTGCAGACTCCCTCTCTCATTGTGCCCAGAGGCAGGGGGAGCCTTAGGAGCCCAAACAGACCTGGCCAAAGTGAGTGTGACAAGCATTGGGCAGCAAAGGGCAGGAGGCAGGCTGATTGGGGGACAGCCCCGGTGGAGTCTAATAATAATAGCTACCATTTGTTGAGCGCGTACAACGAAACCTTTACATCCTCACAACATCCCAATTGAGGTCATATTCTCATTATTCCCATTTAATAGATAAATAAACTGAGGCTCAGAGAAGTTAAGATCACAGTTGACTTTGGTGAGAGCTGCCATGTGGCACAGCCAGGATTTATATTCAAGTCTGCCTGACTCCAAAGCTCATTTCTTTTTGGCTACACCACAATGCTCCTTCCTCACAGTCGGGCCTAAAATACGAATAAACGGTCACAGGATGAGCGCCTATATCATACACAGAAATGGTTGGTTGCTAAGTGAAGTGTTTCTGTATGAAAATAACCAACATTTTAATATATTGGAAACAGCTTCGAATATTTTACATGTAAAGATAGAAATTGTAAAATACTCTCATGTTCTTTGATCCCTTCATAGAACATTTCAGCAATAATTTTCCCTTAAAATCTTATCTCCTCCTCTATCGCACACCTCAGTATGCTTGCTCCTATGGGGATGACAGAGCATAGGGCAGTCTGTTTGGTTCTTATTGACCCATCATTTATTATTTGTTAACTGCCCTATGGATACTAAGGACAGGTCTATTTTGGTAGTGGGGAAGCAGGAAGAAAGAAAAGTGGAATATATCATGTATCAGGCTACGTGACATGGGGCAAGTGACTTCATCTCTCCGCCCCAAATTTCTCATGAATGGTCTGATACTGGTTGTAAGATACAAGGCCTAAGTGTCAAGGCTCAGCTTCCACATCCCCCAGCTCACCTTGGTGTACAGTGTGTCTGCCCGGTCCAACTTTTTAAGGCCATAGAAGATATTAGCTAGGTGAAAATAGCCTCCTGAGGTCCTGATGTCCTCTGTTCCAAATGCACAACTGGCAAAATAAATCTATAGCAGAAGGAAGAAGATTACTAGAGTTCTCTTTGTAAATCATACATCTGATAAAGAACTTGTATCCAGAATATATAAAGAAAGTTACAACAATTAAAAAATGGGCAAAGGATCTGAATAGACATGTCTCCAAAAAGATATCCCAATGGTTAATAAGCACATGAAATGATGCTCAAAATTATTAGTCATTAAGGAAGTGCAAAATAAAACCACAATGAGAAACAATTTCACACACATTAGAATGGCTATGATCAAAAAGGCATAAAATAACAAGGATTGGTGAGGATATAGAGAAAATAGAACCCTTGTACATTGCTAGTGGGAATATGAACTGGTACAGCCTCGGTGGAAAACAGTCTGGCAGTCCTCGAAAAGTTAAACATAGCATTATTATATGAGCCAGCAATTCCATTCTTAGGTAGATACCCAAGAGAAATGAAAACGTGTCCACACAAAGACTTATACACAAATGTTCATAGCAGCATTATTCATCATAACCAAAAAGTGGAAACAACCCAAATGCCCATCAACTGATGAATTGATAAACAAATCATGGTATATCCAGGTGACGAAATACTACTCAGTAATAAAAGGAATGAGGTATTGAGACAACCACACGATGAATCTCAAAATAATGACACTAAGTGAAAGAAGTCAGAGGCAAAAGACCACATATGATTCTGTTTATATGAAATGTCCAGAAAAGGCAAATCTAGAGAGACAGAAAGCGTTTGCCTGGGGCTGAGAGTGGGAATGAGAAATGACTGTAAGTGGATATGAGGGATTTCTTTGGGGTGATGGAAATGTTCTAAAACTGGACTGTGCTGATGGCTGCAAAACTCTGTAAATTTATTAAAATCATTGAACTGGACATCTAAAACGGGTAAATTTTAGGGTATGTATCAATAAAGCTGTGTTTTGTTTTGTTTTGTTAAAAAACCTAGGCTGAGGAATCGAGCTTGATCTAATTCTGTGTGGCGCAGCTCAAGACAGAATGCGCCTCTGCTCAATTTATTGGAGGGGTCAAGTATAAAAAGAAAGCACAAATGAAGAATTATCTCATTCATTCAGAATATTAAAATGTATTAGTCAGGCTCCAGGTGGAAACAGATGGCACCCTCAAAAGGATTACCTGAAGACAGTTTAATGAAAGGATTATTTACAGAGGTGTAGAAGAGTTAAGGAACCAATGAGAGCTGGGGAAGCATGAGGGGCCATCAACAGCAAGAAACTATTACCATCTTGCCTCCTGAAGGAGCCAAAGGAGAGAGCAGGGTCACCAGGGCAGAGCTAGAACAATGAAAAAGGCTACCACACATGGGCTGTGGCCACAGAGGAACACGGCCCTGGCCAGAAGTGGGCTGGGGCAGAAAGGCAGCAGAGAGAGTAAATGCCCAACCTCTCTCCTCTCCCAACCTCCACTCCCCTGCCATGCCTCTCACTCTCCAAACCCAACCAAGGCCAGAGAGCAATGGAGTCCAGGTTGTGTGGTCCGTAGAGGCCAGCCTCCCAGGGCCGAGGAGGGGCAGAGAATGGATTTGGGATGAGGGGACATGGAGAATAACCAGCACAAGAATGTTTCCAGTGACTTTACGGGCCTTGTGCAGTGGCAGCAACGAGAGGGAGAAGTGCCCAGTGAGGAGGCTGAAGAGAGAACCATCCTGTGTGGAGAACACAGTCTGACCCTAACCTCATCCAGATTTCAGGCTCAGGAACTCCTCTCTCTGATAACATCATCCAATACTGAAATCCTAACAGAAACCTAGATAACCCTCATCATCCTATCTAACATTTGCAGAGTGTTATAGTCTAGAAAGCACTTTCATACACCTTGAGCTCATTCAAATTTAATAGCCACACTCTGAACTAGAGACAGTGATGTTATTTATAAAAATAGTCGCCAAAGTGTTGCACATGCATTGTTCTGTTTTAATCTCTGCAATGACTCAATGAGGCAGAGACTAGCTTATGACTTCTGTCTTACCGGTGATGAAAGAAGTTAAATAATTTGTCCAAGACTATGCAGCTGGTGAAACGACAGAGCTGGAAGTGGAATAAAGCCCTGTCCTAACCAGTATGCTGTTCTGCAACCCTTTATCCAGCAAGTGACGTTGTGGAAATGATGTGACCTGGCCAGGGTCACACAGCCAGGAAAGGAAAGGCTTGGACACAAATTGATAAAGCTGCGTTCTCGCTAATACCCAACCAGTCAGTTGTAAACAGAAAGTTTTAGAGAAATGCTCAGTTAACAAACACACAAAAAACTAAACAGAGCTGTTCTTAGAAACATTCACGTGTTATAATTTCACTTGTTTACATCATTAGCCAGATGATAACGGGCTTCCTCATAGTTTTCCTTAGCCATATAGAGAAGTCCCAGGTTCCGATGCAGTAACGAGTGGGTGGCATAAGAGCATTCAGTTGACTTGAGGACTGTCCACTGGGCTTGGCATAGATATTCCTCAGCCTGGACAATCCGGCCCAGACCTGCCCAAAAGAAGTAAAGAAGGTTATAATTCATATCCTGGCCAGAGAACACATGATGAAACATGAGTCCTCACACACTCACTCATTTATTGATTACTCAAACATTTATCAACACATAAAAACTTGTACACGAATGTTCACAGTGGCCTAGTCATAATAGCCAAAATAGAGAAACAAGTTGAATGTCCATCAGCTGATGAGTAGATATACGAAATGTGGTCTATCCAAATCCATGAGTGGAATATCATTCAGTCACCAAAAGGAATGGAGTACTGATAGATGCTCAACATGGATGAACCTGGAAAACATTATGCTAAGTGAAAGAAGCCAGACACAAAAGGCCACATATTGTGTGATTCCACTTACGTGAAATGTCCAGGATAGGTAAATCCATAGAGACAGAAAGCAGATTAGTGGTGGCCAGGGAATGTGGGTGTGGAGAAATGGGATGTGACTGCTAATATGGTATGGGTTCCATTTGGGGGTGACTAAAATGTTCCGGAATTAGATGTGGTGATGGTTGCACAATCTTATGAATACACCAAAACCATTGAATTGTATTTTCAAAGGGTGAATCTTATGGTAGATGAATTATGTCTCAATTAAAAAATACATGTATATGTATACTTAGTTCCTTTTATGTACCAGGCCTTGTGTTGAGTGATGGAGATTCAAAGATGGATTAAAGCCATTACCTTTGAAAAATTTACAGCCAAGTTGGGGGACATGAGTGGGGAACACATGCGTGACGTGAAAACAAATATATTTATAACACAGTGTAAGTGCAATGATAGTAACATCATAAGGTTTGCAAGTGGCAGAGAGTAGGATGTGTTTAATTCTATGGATGGGGTGGAGAGGAGACGGAGTGAGGAGAGGCATGGTGAGTGCTGTGGACTGAATGTTATGTTTAATTCATATGCCGAAGCCCTAATCCCCAAAGTGATGTAATTGGAGGTGAGGCCCTTGGGAGGTAATTAGATCCAGAAAGTGGAGCCCTTATGAATGAGATTAGTGCCTTTATAAGAAGAGACACAAGAGAGAGGATCTCTCTTTTGGTCACGTGAGGATACAGTGAGAAGGTGGCTGTCCACAAGCCGGGAGGTGGGCGCTCCTCAGATACTGCATTTGCTGGTACTTTGATCGTGGACATCCAGCCTCCAGAACTGTGAGAAATAACTGTGCATTGTTTAAGCCACTGAATCTATGATATTTGTTATAGCAGCTGAGCTGACTTGCATGATGGAGCTTGATACATGTGGAAAAAAAAATAGAGCATTTTAAGAAAAGGAGAAAGAATTGGATTTAGATTCAGAAGGGTCTTCTGGAGCCAACGTGGAGGAGGGAACAGAGGGGAGGAAGAAAAGCGGAAGGCTTCTGAAACAGTTCAGACAAGCCCTGACAAGAGCCCGAATAAGGCAGTGAATGAAGGTGGAGCGGATCAAGAGACATTTAGGAGCCAGAATGGACAACACATAGTTACTAAGTGAAAATCACCTTCGTTTCTAATATTCAGATACTGTTGACACTTTGTTTAGCTGTAAAGATACATAATGGTTTCCTGTCTACCTGTTTGTCTCCTGGGGAGGTTGTCAGAACTGAAGAGAAAACTACTCTGACAGCCTTCTGCAGGGGAGGAGGCATGCCCTGGGTATGAAGTATTTCCTATTATGGATGCTGCAGCAGAAATGGCACCAATAAAGGGTCAGGAGATGAGGACATAAACCTCTCATAAGTCAACCTTCTGTTCTTCTCTGTCCTTCCTCCCAGGCCTAGTTCACAGGTAAGCATGGTTTTATTCTAGTTGTAATCACATGGCAGTGAATTAAAGGGGAGAGGTGAAGAAGAAGCAATCCACAGAAGGAAGCAAGTAGCTTTGCTTGACCAAAGCTCAAACTAAAATGGGAAAATACTAGTTTAGAAGCAAGGGGCCTAGGTCCATGATCCTGGCTCATGTGAACATGGCAAGTCACATCTTCCATTTGGGTTTTGTCTATAAAATGAGAGCTTTAGACTGAGACCCTCTCAAATTTAAAGAAGCAAGTGACTCTTAGCTAAGATTGTTTAGATGGGGAAAAGATTGGTAGAGGGCATTGACATACATCGGAAATTTTAAATGTTCATTGTCCAGTTCTTATTCCAAGTAATGCCAAAGAAAGAAGGCTCGAGGCCAAGCTGAAGCAGCAACTACAAACATCAATCCCAAAGAAAAAGGCCTAGTTGGGAGAAAAACTATGAGGTTGAAAATTCAGAAAGCGGGCTATAGTGAGGTAAGAGGAATGGGCTGTTAGGAGCAGGTCAGAACTAAGATTGTGACCAGTGAGTGGTAAGTTTAGGCATGGCCTCTTGTATATACACTGCTCGCCTGGAGAGGTGTAGGGGTGGAGTGGAGGTAGTGGAGACATAAAGCTGCCAAAGGAAGTGAGACTATCCTCAGGGGTGATTTTAACAGTCATGGAGTAGGTACAGGAAGGACAGCCAGGAGCAATGGCACTCATCTGAAGGGGGAGACAACAGTCTTACACTGGCTTAATGGCAGATCTGAGAGACATAACGGGGGAAGATTTTGCAGCCCTTGGTGATGAAAGGAAAGGAGCACAGAATAAAGTGGTCACAGGTGATTCAAAGGTGTGGCTGTGAGCACCCAGCAGAAGAGAAGGGAACCAGTACTTACGGTGGGCCAGCTATTTGCCGTGCACTATGCTAGGACATTGGCATTTATGATTTAAGTCTGCCAACCCCCTGTGAAAGAAATGTCAGAGGAGGGATTTACAGAGGAGGAAACTTCATTCATTCACTTAACCATATATTCATCCTATTTGAGTCTCTACTACTCTGCTAGATGCTCTGCGCTTGCTGGTGAATAAAACAGATGTGATCCCTGACCTTAAGGAGCTTACAATTAAGTGAAGTAGGTACACAAGAAACAAATGAAAAATGAAATGCTATGAAGGAAATGAACAGAGCACAGTTATCAAGAAAAAGCAGGGAGAGGGGTCAGCCCAGTGGTGCAGCAGTTAAGTTCGCATGTTCCACGTCAGCGGCCCAGGGTTTGCCAGTTCGGATCCCAGGTGTGGACCTACGTACTGCTTGTCAAGCCACGCTGTGGCAGGCGTCCCACATATAAAGTAGAGGAAGATAGGCACGGATGTTAGCTCAGGGCCAGTCTTCCTCAGCAAAAACAGGAAGATTGGCAGCAGATGTTAGCTCAGGCCTAATCTTCCTCAAAACAATAACAACAACAACAACAAAAGAAAAAGCAGGGAGAAACCTATTTTGGATGATTAGGGAACACCTCTCTGAGAAGGAGACATTTAAGCAGGAAACTGAAGGTTGCAAAGAAGTCAGCCATGGAGAAAAGAGCATTCCAGGCAGAAGGAACAGTATGTGTGAGGGCCCTGAGGTGAGAAGGAGCTTGATGCCTAGGGTCACCAACCAGTAAAGAAGGAGTTGGAATGTGAACCCAGGTTCTCCGGGTTCCAAAGCACTGACAGCGTTGGGGCAAGATAAGTAAGGTGGCTCCTCTTTGAAGTGTTACTGAAAATATCATCTCTAGTTGATTAAAATTCCAAAGTTTTACCAAAAAAAAAAAAAAAAAGCTGAATACCCCTTATTTTCCACTCCAGTCTGGAGGAATCTCTAAGATGGGAAAGAGGCATGTACACAAGGGATATGATTTATTTAGACTTTCCAGAAGGTTGGCAAGGTTTTAAATCAATGACTGTGGGAGTTATAGTGAAACCTTCCATTTACACAGAACTTTCCAGCTTGCAAAGCACTTTCATGTTCATTACACACGAAGTCATTTAATGCTCAAAACAATCCTGTGAAGAGGGACTCAAATTTCACAAGTGCCCACACAGTGCCCACTAGGTGTCAGGTACTGTGAGAGGAGTTTTTTAGTACCTTCTCTGTACTAAGAAGCACCGTTCTGGGTGTGCAGACACTATGATGAGTAAGAACAGATAGAGTTAGGGATCTCCCTGAGCTTATGGTCTAGTGGAAGAGAGATTTTAGTTAAATAATCTCATCAACAAATGTATGATTATTATTGAGGTAAGTGCCCAGAAAAAAGCAAGAGGTTTCTAAGTGGGTACATAAAAAAGAGACCTGACCTAGTCTGGGGACTTGGGAAAAGCTTCTGGACAAGGGGGTGGTAACTCTTGAGCTGAGACCTGAAGGATGAATTAGGAGTTAGTTAGGTGGAGGGGAGGGGAGGGGAAGTGGGGAGAGTGCCTGGGGAAGAGCCTTCTAGAGCAGGGGAGCATCACAGTGCCTCCGAGGAACCCAGAGAAGGCCAGTGTAACTAAAGAGAATAACAGTGTAACTAGGGAGAAAGAAAAGAATGCGAGATGAAGCGAGAGAATTCATAAAGGCTGGACCGAGCAGGGCCTCACAGGTTGCTTTAGGAATTTGGTCTTTATTTGGTGGAGCAACTTGAACACATTTTGTGTGGAGGCCAGATTGGAGGGGGGCCCAGAGAAGACGTGCATAGACCCGTTAACAGGCAGTCGTCCAGATGAGAGGCAATGAGACTCAGCCAAGGTGACGTTTCTAAAGTCCCATAGCTAGTCAGTGTCAGAAATAAACAGAACCTGGGCTGTGTTTCCTTGTCCAGTGCTCTTCCCAAGAGTTTTGGAGGAGGGACTGTCTGGAATGGGGAGTCAGGCCTGAGCAGAGTGAGGAGGACATTCTTGCAGTTAAGTAGCCTGGTATCCCCATACCAGAGCCCAAACCAGTGAGAAGGGGATCCATGTAGAAGAGGCAGCCCAGAATGAGGAGTCAGAGCCCACGCGGGGAGAGGAGGGCGTCTGCAAGAGGAAAGGATGGGGTTGGAGGTGGGAGATTGGTTCCTACAGGGGCATTCATTAAATATATAAATATATTAATGAAAAGGGAGCTATGAATATGAATGGGAGAAAATGAGATTGAACTCTGTGGTAGCATTGGACTGGATTTGGATGTACTGGTATGGGTCCATGGTCGTATATATATATATATATATACACATATATATAGAAAGAGAGAGGGAGAGATACAGATATAGATATATAGAAGTAAATTTTGATGTAATGTGTGTATACATACCCATATTATTATATTTACACATATTCCCTAACTCTGTCCACTGAGAAGGCCTGGGAGCAGTCATACTCTATTATCAACGCATACATCCAGTGCACAACTCTTGGCTTCTGAATTCCATTTTCCACCAAAAGAAATCAGGGTTCCTTGGAGGCATGTTCCGGAAAGCAGGAAAATGATCAAAGAACAAAGGGGATGTGTCAAGGAGACACAGAAGCCAGCTTGAAGGGGCTGCCACTTGCCAAATCAAAGACAGTTTGAGCATCAAATTAATGATAGTAATGGATTATAACCCATTGAGTAAAACAGAAGACCAAAAGTCTATATGATATAAATAAATAAATGAATACATTGAAAGTTTGATGAGGAATGGGATATTTATATAGTTTCAAAATACCTCCCCATATAATACTTATTAACTGCAAAGAGGGGAAAGAGCAACTCTACAGAGAAGCTTGGAAGATACCACCTTAATAAAGTAACTTAAATGGGCATCATCAGTAATGGAACAAATAGAAAACATGTGCCAACTTAGAAGATGGGATGAGACGAACACAGCATCGCTTCTGTGATATTACTGCCAAAGATACATCACCTGAATCAGGTCATGAGAAAACGTCAGAGAAACCCAAATGGAGGGACATTTTATAAAATAATTGGCCTTTAATCTTTAAAAGTGTCAAAATCATAAAAGTCAAGGAAAGATTGAGGATCTGTTCCAGAATGGAGGAGACTAGAGAGACATGGCAACAAAATGAAAAGCATGATTCTGAACTGTATCCTTTTGCCATGAAAATGTTATTGGGACAATTGGAGAAACTCGAATAGGGTCCGCTTGGTGGATGATAGCAGGTGATGGTTGTATTGTGGTTGTGAAGGAGAATGTCTGCGGGAAATACACACTGAAATACTCAAGGCATAGGGCATCAGGCAAGCAACGTACTTTCAGATAGCTCAGGGAAAAAAGGTCTTTGCATTGTATTTCCAAGAGCTTAACTGCTTAAAAAGTTGGTTTTTAAAAAAATAGTGGCTATTAAGATGCATAAAGTGGTAGGACAGTACCTAAAACACTGTAGATGCTCAAAAATGTTAATTCCCCTCAAAAATGCTAATTCTCCTCTTATAGCAAACACCACGTAGGCTGTCTGCCAAGTCTGTGCTCTTACTCTCAGAACTGCCTCTCCCATCTACAGGAGCGAGTTGCTATATTCCTGTTTGAACTGTGTGACCTTGACACAAAGGTAGATAAAGGTAGGTACCACTCTCAAGCTGACTCAACACAATTCTTTCTTCTAGGAATTTAAAATTGGAAATCAAATGCTAATTAGTTTCCTTTACCCACCTTGAACCTGCAGGACTTGTAAATTCAATGTAAATTCAGCTACATCTGACATCTAGGGGTAGCTGTCTTCTGCAGAAAGCATACTGTAGAAAAATTTGGTCTGCAGAGACGGAAGATAAAGCCGATGTGGAGAGAGAAACAGAGACAAGAGACAAGGCACGGGAGAGAAACTGAGAGCAGCAGCCTTAGTTTGTTATAGCATTCTCATTCTAGTACCTCATGAAGCCTCAATTCCCCCGGACACTCCAGTGTCCTAATAAATTTCCTCCTTTTGCTTAGATCAGCTTGAGTGGATTTCTGTCAGTTGTAGCCAAAAGTCCAGGACATCTCCTTCCCCACCTTGTGCCAAACTTTACAGCAACTCTGCTCTTCCACAAAAGGTGTCCTGGTGCCACTGCCAAGGCTGGACTGTTTGGCCACTGATATGACCCAATATAGCACTTCTTAAGGGCTCGGGGGGTCTTGAGTTGGTTTCACTTACCAAGGCTCGCCTCGGCCAACAGCAGGTAAGCAGGCACAAGCTCCACTGAACTCAGGCCATGCACATTCATGCGGAAGCGAAGAGAATGCAAAGCTGCTGGGACAGCATCTTCATGTTTTCCTTCAAAGAGATATTTCTGGGCTACGGTGTAGCAGAACTCAATCAAATGCTTCTGTGGAAGAAAAAACTAGATCATCCGGACGGTCTAATGGTAAAAGGCAATGCCAGATATAGAGGTACATTTGGAGATATGGCCAACATCTGACGAATTGATTCAGGGTACACAGTGAGCCTGCCTATATTAAGGTGGACGTGAGACCCCAAATAGGTGATATAAAAAGGCAAAGCTGGACTGTGAGTTCCTTAAGGTCCAGGAACAAGGGTCTTCTCAGCTTAGCTCAGTGCTTGGCATAAATGAGCGCTCAATATAAAATTATTAAACGCATGTTATTCTTACATTTATAATAAAAATTTAGTTTAGCAAAGCTGTCACGTCTCAGGACAATCCAAAACTTTCCACCTTTCTATTTGAGTTAATTTTGAGAGAACATCTTATTTTTCCCTCTGGAATTATCCTGCTTAGCTAATATCGGAAACAACTTTAACTCTGCATTGTTCTCAGGCCACTCTCAAAGTGTCACAAGACTAAAACTGATGAATCCGGTGTTTTGAGACTTACGGCTTTGAAAACGTTATTTTTTTGAACAAGAATTTATATGCTATCAATGCTGTGATAATAGTTTTCCTAATCTCCTTTACCTTTTCATTAGTATATCCACACATCATTTTTTGACCTCCTACTATGTGCCTAAGCTCTTATCACAGTTCTTGGCATATGTGGATGTTATGGGTAAATTTCGTGCCCCCATGAATTTCCTATGTTGAAGCTCTAACCCCAGTACTTCAAATGTGACTGCCTTTGGAGACAGGGCCTTGACAGAGGTGATTAAGGTAAAATGAGGCCATAGGGTGGGCCCTATCCAGTGGGACTGGTGTCCTTATAAGAAGAGGAATTTGGACACACAGACACCAGGGATGCGTGTGCGCAGAGGAAACCAACCCTGCTGACACCTATCATTGATCTTGGACTTCCAGCCTCCAGAACTGTGAGAAAACAAATTTCTGTTGTTTAAGACCCCTGGCCTGTGCTATTTTGTTACGGTGGCCCCAGGAAACGAATACACCAGGTATTCAGGAAATATGTGGAGAAAACTGACGGAACGGTATCGAGGACATAACGACATAAAACAACAGTCGTGCCCCCAGAGCGGTTACCGTTTAGTGATCTCCCCCAGCACACCCTCTTTCCTGGGCGTTCCGCTGCACCCACAAGTCAAGCCCGTGGCAGTCCTGCAGGACGTACCTGCCGCTGCTGCAGCTGCTGCAGCCCGTGCTTCCGTTCTTCCTCCGAGTTGTAGAAGGGCATGGAGGTGCGCAGCGGAATCAGGAGCTGGCAGATCTTCTCGTGGATGCTGCCCCAGTCAGCTCTTTGATGAACCACACCACTGACAATAAAGACATGGGCTTCGTTATCTTCACCTCTGGCCTGATCTAAGATTCTGCTGGCTCTACTACTGGGCCCTAGAAATTAGAAGAGTAAGCCCAGGACAAACCAGGCAGGGAACCCCAAGCCATTCCTGACACGAATCTCTTTTCTTTCACGTGGTCATTTGATGGTGTAAAAATTAGTTGGGGACGGGGTGGGTGGGAGGCTGCTGTGTCTGCAGGCACAGGTGTGCTGCTGTGGCTATTCTGCTTTTCTGCTTAATTAGTAGCAACGAAGACAACTTTAGCTCTGCGTGGTTCTAAGACCATTTTCAAATATCTGAAGACTGCAGCTGACCGATTTGAGGGTCTTTTTTCTTGGGGAAGGGAAAGGAGTTTACATTTGATGAGGCCCTAGGAGACGCTTCCCTGTACTCGGTTCCACCATGTTGCATGGCTCTGGAGAGCACCACTTGCATTGTCTTCTGTGCTCCACGGGGCCATTCACACAGAACACACTGTGAATGCCCCCCAGTCCCAGGGGTACAGCAGGGGGTTTTGCATGTACCTACCTAACTTTTTGAAAACAAAACAAAATCTATTATTACTGTTTCAAAGATAAACAAGCATAGGCGCGCAGAGCCCAAGTAGTTACTCTAAGCCTGTACTCCAAAGCCAGTTGTTTTTATAGCTCTCCAGAGGGAGGTACTGTGACAGTTGGGTGTACTGCTCTTCTGGCTATTTTACATGCATATTTAGTGCTTTTAAGCACTTAATTGGACAGCACAGATATAGAACATTTGCATCACTGCAGAAAATTCTATTGGACAGCACTCCTACAGAGAATCCACTCCCATTCCTTAAATAATTGCCTCTGTGAATGACTCCCATATCTATTACCCAGTTCTGACCCTTCCTCCAAGTATGTTTTTTTCTACGTTTTAAAATTGATATATATTCACATGCCATAAAACTCACCATTTTAAGTGTACAATTCAGTGTTTTTTTAGTATGTTCTCTAGGTTATGTAACCATCACCCAACCTAATTCCGGGACATTTTCATCACTCAAAAAAAACTCCATCCACTCTAGCAGTTACTCTCATGCTTCCCTCCACCCATTGGTGCCCAGAAACCACTAATCTACTTTCTCTATGTATGTGTCTATTCTGGACATTGCACACAAATGGAAACAGACGATATGTGGTCTTTCACGTCTGGCTTCTTTCACTTAGGATGATTTTTTCAAGGTTCATCCATGTGGTACCATGTATCAATATTTTATCCATTTTTACAACTGAATAATATTCCACTGTAAGACTATAACACAATTTGTTTATTCATTCATCAGTTGGTGGACATTTGGGTTATTTCCACTTTGTGCCTATTACGAATAATACTGCTATGAACATTTGTGTACAACTCTGTGTGTGGACACATTTTCATTTATTTGGGGTATCTACCTAAGAATAGAATTGCTTAGTCATATAATAACTCTATGTTTAACTTTTTGAGGACTGCCAAACTATCTTGCACAGAGGCTGTACCTTTTTACAATCCCACCAGGAGTGTATGAGGGTTTCATTTTTTCCACATCCTTGCCAACACCTGTTATTTTTCTGTCGTTTTTATTATAGCCATTGTAGTGTGTGTGAAATGGTATTGCATTGTGATTTTACTTTATATTTCCTTAATAGCCAATAATGTTGAGAAGCACTTCATGTGCTTATTGGCCATTTGTATATCTTCTTTGGGGAAATGTTTATTCAAATCCCTTGCCCATTTTTTAACTGGGTCTTTTATCTTTTTACTGTTGAGTTTTAAGAGTTTGTAGGGGCTGGCCCTGTGGCTGAGTGGTTAAGTTCACACGCTCCGCTGCAGGTGGCCCAGTGTTTTGTTGGTTCGAATCCTGGGCACAGACATGGCACTGCTCATTAAACCACGCTGAGGCAGCGTCCCACATGCCACAGCTAGAAGGACCCACAATGAAGAATATACAACTATGTACTGGGGAGCTTTGGGGAGAAAAAGGAAAAAAATAAAATCTTTAAAAAAAAAAGAGTTTGTAAAGAACTGGAAACTAGTTCCTTTTCAGATATATGATTTGCAAATATTTTCTCCCATTCTGTGGGTTGTCTTTTCACTCTCTTGATATTGTTCTCTGATGCACAAAAGTTTTTAATTTTGATGGTGTCCAAGTTTTTTCCTTTGGTTCCTTGTGCTTTTGGTGTCACATCTAAGAACAGTTGCCTAATCCAAGATCACAAAGATTCATAACTGTTTCCTTCTAAAGTTTTATGTTTTTAGCAGCTATATTTAGGTCTTTTTGTTTATGGTGTAAGGTATGGACCCAAATTTATTCTTTTGCATGTGGATATCCAAATATCCCAGCACCATTTGGAAGGAAACATTCCTTCCCCAATTGGCACTCTTGTTAAAAATCAATTGACCATAGATGCAATGTGTTTATTTCTGGACTCTCAATTCTGCTCCATTGATCTACATGTCTGTCCTTATGCCAGTACCACACTGTCTTCATTACTGTACCTTTGTAGTAAATTTTGAAACTGAGAAGTGTGAGTCCTCCAACTTTGTTCTTTTTCAAGATTGTTTTAGCTATCCTGGGTCCCTTGCATTTTCATATGAACTTTAGGGTCAGTGTGTCCATTTATGCAAAAATGACAACTGAAATTCTGATGGGGATTGCATTGAATCTGCAGATCAATTTGGGGAATGTTACTATCTTAACAATACCAAGTCTTCTAATCTATGAATATGAAACATCTTTCCTTTTATTTAGGTCTTCTTTTTAATTTCTTTCAACAACATTTTGCATTTTTCAGTGTATAAGTATTATACTTTTTTGGTTAAATTTATTCCTTTTTTGGTGTTATTGAAAATAGAATGGCTTTCTTAATTTAATCTTCAGGTTGTTCATCACTAGCATGTAGAAACACAACTGATTTCTGCAGATTGATCTTGTATCCTGTAACCTTGCTGAATTCATTTGCTAGCTCTAATAGGTTTTTTTTGTGGGTTCTTTAGGGGTTTCTCTATATAAGATCATATCATCTGCAAATAGAGGTACTTTTACTCCTTATTTTCCAAGCTGGATGCCTTTTATTGCATTGTCTTGCCTAATTGACCCAACTAGAACCTCTAGTAAAATGTTGAATAGAAGTGGTGAAAGTGACATTCTTGTCTTATTCCTGATTTCAGGAGGGAAAGCTTTTAGTCTTTGACTATTAAGTACAGTGTTAACTCTGTGTTTCTCTATGGGTTTTTCATAGATACCCTTTACCAAGTTATGGATGGTACTTTCTATTCCCAGTTTGGTAAGTGTTTTTATCATAAAAGGTGTTGGATTTTTGTCAAAATGCTTTTTCTACATTTATTGAGATGATCATCTGGTTTTTGTATTTTATTCTATTAATATTCTATTATTAAGGATTCTATATATTAAGGGTAATATTCTAGTAAGTCTTATATTGATTGATTGTATGTTGAACCAACCTTGAATTCCTGGGAAAAATCCTACCTGGTCATGTTGTATAATCCTTTTTATGTGCTGCTGGATTTGGCTTGCCAGTATTTTGTTGAGGATTTTTGCATCTATATTCATAAAGGATATTGGTCTGTAGTTTTCTTTTCTTGTGATGTGTTTGTCTGGTTTTGGTATCAGGATAATATTGACCTCATAAAATGAGTGGAGAGCTATTCCTTCCTCTATTTTTTTCTTCTTTGAAAGAGTTTGTGAAAAATTGGTGTTAATTCTTCTTTAAATATTTGATAGAATTCACCAGTGAAGTCATCTGGTCCAGAGCTTTTCTTTGTGGAAATTTTTTTTATTACTAGCAAAATCTCTTGGGTTATAGATCTACTTAGATATTCTATTTCTTCTTCAATCAGTTTTGGTAGTTTGTTTCTTATTAGGAATATATTTCATCCATGTTCTGTAATTTGTTGGCATACAATTGAACATAGTATTCTCTTTTATTTCTGCAAAGTTGGTAGCAATGTCCCCGATTTCATTTCTGATTTTAATAATTTGAGTCTTCTTTTCTTGGTCAGTCTAGCTAAAGGTTTGTCAATTTTATTGACCTTTTTAAAGAACTAACTTTTGGCTTTGTTGATTCTCTTGTTTTCTTGTTATGTATTTCATTTATCTCTGCTCTAACTTTTAATATTTCCCTCCTTCTGCCAGCTTTGGGTTGAGTCTGCTCTTTTTTCTCTAGTTTCTTAAAGTGGAAGGCTGGGTTATTGATTTGAGATCTTCCTTCTTTTTTAATGTACGTGTTTGCAGCTATAAATTTCCCTCTAAGTACTGCTTTCACTGCACCCCATAAGTTTTAGTATGTTGTGTTTTTGTTCTCATTTCATCTTGATGAGGTTCAGGACAGGCTTCCGTGAAATAATGTGGATTATTTTGAGTTGCAAACAACCTAGGCTCAGAAGGCTCAAGAAGAACCTTTGACCTTCCCCCAAACTGCCTACAAGAACTTAAGATAGAAGGGCCTGTCCCAGGAAGGAACTATCACCATAGATAACTCTAGTATCATAGGAACTAGGTGAGGTAGACAGGGAGGAACCTAGCAAGGCCCATTTGATCAAAGTCCTCTCGGGTCCCATTGTTTCTAGATGGCCCAGCAAACATTTGTTTACCAAACATGAACTCTTTTCATCTCCCTGTAAATTGCCTTTTTTCCCTTTGAAGTCCCAGGTCTCTATTTCCTTTCCCTTAGTCCAGAATGGCATATATACCTCATTTTGCCTGACTGTCCCTGGAATTTTTCTTGCTTATGAGAATTCCCCATGTGCATGTATTAAACTTTGCTTGATTTTCTCCTGTTAACCTGCTTTATGTCATTTTAATTATTCAATCAGCTATAAGAACCAGAAGTTGAACTACCGCATTTTTGGCTTGGTTGGCAGGATACTCACTGGTTGGCAAGATCTTCTCTGGCTGAAAAAACTGCCTTGTCTGGCTGGAAGAACTGCTTTCTCCCTAGGACTAGTGCAGATGAAGAGATCCTGGGTCATCTGACAAGACACAAGAGGTAATATTTCTTACCATGTCAGCTTCCCAGAATCTCTTATCTGCAGGGTCTGGTGAAAGCAAGCAATGAGAATTTTTTTCTCTCTCATTCTAAATTTAGATCAGCAAGAGAAAATATTTGTGAAACTAGTTTCTTAGGCTTTCAGCAACTCTGGTATTCGGTGCAATACTCTCAGCTTTATTGATCTTTTTCCTCCCAGAGATGGTCATTGTTTTTTTTCTTTGTCTCTGTCTTTCATGTGATTTGTCATAAGAAGGAAATACCATAGGGTAGGACATAAGCCTAAGCCCTGTAAGCCTGTTGTCTGAGGCAACCCCGCAGACTGGTGAATTTGAGAGTCTCACCAGATTGATGTCTATTTAGATAAACTTTGCTGTGGGCTAATATGCACATGAGGTAAAAGCTATTGCTCAGGGACATCTTGGGAGCCAAAGCCACAAAGTTGGCGGGCAAGGGTGGAGCGCTGAAGACCCATGAGGGTGTTCACCACCACAGGAAGGCTCCCATGATAGGATAAATGGGTCATGGAATGGGTTAGATCAACAGTAGGTCACCCACAACCTCAAGAAAGTTTTGGTGCAATGAAGTACTCTGTAAAACACACACGTGGCACATCCCTCCTAGGTGTTAGTTTGGCCCCAAGAGACTCAAGGCTTAGCTAAAGCTGTTAATATGCATACAAGAAAAAACAGATGAGGTTTTTCCTTCCTTCTTGTTCTGTCCTGAGAGCTTGGCTTTTTGGCCGGTGAGAATATTATCTGGTCTCTGCCAGAGTGCACCTTGGTGGCTAGTTGAATAGACTGGGGTTCCAAGATGCAAACTCACCATCAGCACACTCTTTGTCTGGCTGTGCCAGCTCTCAGAAGAGTTTATCATAAGGGGTCCCAGTCCATAAGAGGCCTTTTTGTCTCAACCTTCATTGCTCGTTAGTGCTAGAAAAATACCATTCCAGTAGCACCTGCCCAGTGTCACTGATTAGTCGGTCTGTGACTGGAGGCCTCCCATGCTCTCCTGGGAGACTGGAGACACCATTTTCACTATACCACCCTTACTACCTGTGCAACGAAGGTCTTTACTTTCTCTGACTATTTTTGGGAGTGAACTTTTTGGGTCATGGGGGCTAACCATCTGTGCCCTGTCCAGGGATGCCTCTAGCATCCATGGTAAAGATTTATTCTAAGCCTGGAAAGTTACCTCTGGATCTTCCCATAAGGCTTATTGTATTGAGTTGCTATTGGGATAAATATACAAATGAAGATCCTTTTGATCAATGGCCAGACAATGGATCTTTTAAATTGGAAAAACTTCTATATTTTAAAAATATTTTAGAGAGCGCTCATCACAAGCAGCTGCCTTATTGGTATTTATGAGAGCATCAAATTGAAAAGAAAACCCAAAATAAGTATAACAGTTAGCCTCAGGGAATTCCTTAATAAAATGAAAGAACAGAAGTCAGACTTAGAACAAAGATGAAAAACAAATCTAACAAAAATTCCCCTTCTCCTCCCTCTTACACTCTCCCATATCCCCTACTCCCTGACCCCCGAAGGTCTTTCGGATCTCTAGGTCCCTGGTTTAAACCTGCTCCCTCTCAATGCTCAGCTCCTCAGCCAGCTTCTCAGCCAGTTCCCTTAGATCCTTAAACTCCAGCTTCTCCAGAAAAACCTCCAGCTGCCTATTTTAACTTCCCTCTTAGAAGACTTACAGGAGGCACTCAGGCCTGACCTCCAAGCTAGGGTCTTACGAGTTACTTGCGTAAATGCTGAAAGCCAAGAAGTGAATTTAGCAGAAGCAGCCAGGAAGGGCCAGAAGGCTCACTTTGCTGTCCCTTATGAGTCCTCCTACTTCCCAGGGCTCTGTAATCAGGCTCTGCCAGCTTCAGGCATTCCTATGCAGTGTCCATTGTGGATGTATCCTGGACCTCTGCTCACAGAATTCACGTCCGCGGGACACCAGCCAATTTATTAAATTATAAAACCCTCCTGCCTCCATTGTCAGAAGATCCTACAAAATTTAGAGAGGAGTTAGAAAGATTAGCAGCAATTCACAACCCCACTCACAGAGACCTTGACTGGCTGCTAAGGGATGTTCTTCTAGCCCACGATTATACAGTAGTTATCAAACAGGCCAGACGTCCCCCTGGAGAAGATCCCTCTCCTAGGGGAAACAGACCGCCAGCCCCTCTCCAAGGCCCTCCTGTAAATGGCTAGGAAATGGCTCTGCTAGAGGCGATGTTCAAGGTTTAATAGGAATGATTTTAGAGGCATTTCCTCCTAAAGTTAATTGGTCAAGAATTGAATTGTGCACTCAGAAAGGAGGGGAACATCTAAAGGCCTTTGCTGAGCGTTCTATGCAAACTTTTCAAAGCCACGCTGCACTAAACCCAGAAGCCCCAGAGCACAGGGCTCTCCCAATTCCTGCTTTACGAGGAAATTTTCTCCTGATATTAGAAAACAAATTCAAAATAGTGTGTTTGGTTGGCCTGGGCAACTGTTAAGTGTGATAATGGAAGCTGCTACACAATTCTTTGAAAAAAGTCTGCAGGAAAGCAGCAGAAAAAAAAAAAAATTAAAAGCAACCATTCTCTCTTTGCAGCTCGAATCTTCAGAGGAGAAAAATGTGACTCTGAGAGTAAAGTAAAGCCTGCTCAGAGGCTCCCTATTTGCCTCCAGACAAGTGCAGGTATTGCAAGAAACTGGGGCCTTGGAAAAAAATTGTCCCACACTTAAGAGAAGGGAACATTTAAGAAGTATCCACCGAGGCCCCAGCACCCCCAGAAGGTTCATTTTTCTCCTCCTGAGGGGCATTTCCCCCTCAAATGATGGGGTCGGCCAATCCTCAGTGGCACCTCAGAGCCTACCATTAAACTTAAAATAGAGGATGGGGAACTGAATTTCTTAATTGAAACTCGTGCAACTCTTGCTACTATCCATTCAGAGGATTTCTTTGTCACCTCTGATTCTGTTCAAGCTGCTAGAGTCTCTGGGGAGCCTATTTCATTGCCCATAACTCAGCCCACCCCAATATCTTTACGCCTTAACACCCATCATGCCTTTCTAGTGTCTGACTGTTCTACTAGCAAACTTTTTTGGCAGAGATTTTTTTTCTGTAAATTTACTGTCACTATAAATTGTAATGAGAAAGGTGTTTTTATCTCCCTGCCCTCAGACCAAACCCCAAATCTCCTATTTTCCTGCTAGAAAGTGATCCTGATTTAAATTCATCTGAAGAGGATGAGTCTTTAAAAGATGTTTCAATTAGTCTTTGGGCTACACATGCAAATAAAGTAGGATTGTTACCGAGTGCAGAACCCATGCACATTACTTGGAAAAAGAATACACCGTTTCCATCAGTAGCCCAATACCTGCTTCAGGGACGCAGTACAAAGAACTTAATCTGTAAGACTTCCTTTTGCAACAGAGTGTACTAGTTTTTACTTCCTCAGCTTTTAATACTCCAGTCTTGCCAATGAAGAAGGCAAATTTGACTCAGTTGGGAACCAGATCTATAGATTTGTACAAGATCTGAGAGTCAGAAACTCTTGTGTAATTCCTCAGCATCCTGTGATCCCTAATCCAGCTGTCATCCTGACCTCAGTTCCTGCTGATGCAGCCTGGTTTACAGTAGTTGATCTCTGCTCAGTTTTCTTTCCAATCCCATTGCACCCTGACTCACAATTTATTTTTACATTACATTTACGGGGAGGCAATTAACATGGTCACACCTACCTCAGGGATCTCCTTCAGTCCCCCTCAACATTTTCCCAAGTCCTTAAAGCAGACTTGGATTCTGTAGCCTTTACCCAAGGCTCCACACTTGTTCAGAATGTTGGTGACCTTGCATTCTGTAACCAAACTAAACAGGGAGCTCTTAGAGACGCCCTCATTCTCCTGAAGACACAAGCTGCATGAGGCCATAAAGCCTCCAGATCTAAACTTCAGAGGGTACGAATGACTGGTACCTACTTAGGGCATGAGATATCTCAAGGCATCCAAAAGCTACCCTCAAAAGCCTTGAGTCAATTTTGTTCATCCCTCTCTCCCAAATGACAAAACAGCTACATAAATTTCTAAGGGCAGCTAGTTACTGCCACCAATGGATTCCTAACTTTGCAGCCCTTGCTAAACCTCTATATGCCCTTCTCCCAGATATCATTCCAGAGCCTATTTCCTGGCCTTCACAGGCATTAACCTCCTGTGAAGCATTAAAATTTGCTTTGTCCACAGCTCCGGCTCTTGGCTTACTTAATTTTCACAAATCTTTTCATCTATACTGCCAGGAAAATAATGGGATTGCTACAGGCAATCTAGGACAGTCTATTGCCTCTCAGATATGTCCTATAGCATATTTCTCATGCCAACTAGACCCTGTGGCATTAGGTATGCCCCCATGCTTGTGTGCGTGGCTGCAGCTGCCACCTTGTTTGACAAAGCCAGTACTCTTACATTAGGCTCCCCCATTCATCTCTATGTTCCCCATGCCGTGTCTGCTGTTTTACAAGTTCATAGGACGCAGCACCTCTCTACACAGCGACAGACCACCTATGAGCAGGCTCTCTGACCAATCCTTTCATCGCAAACACCATTGTAACACTTTAAATCCAGCTACTTGATTAACCCTCCCTGATGATGGACAGCCTTACTCTACTCGACATGACTGCCTTACAACTATAGAATTGGTCTCAAAGCCATGAGAGGATCTCTCAGACATCCCTTTAGATAACTCAGACTTACTTCTATTTTGTGATGGCTCCTGTAAATGAAATTTACGGAGAAACATAAAAACTGGTTATGCCATAGTTTCCCCTCATGAAACTCTCAAGGCTCTTTAGCCACTGTAAAATCAGCCCAAGCTGCTGAACTCATAGCTTTTACTAGACCTTGCACCTTAGCAAAAGGGAAAACTGCCACTATCTACACAGACTCCAGATTTGCTTTTGGAGTCTGCATGCTGTTGGCACAATTTGAAAATCCATGGATTCTT